GAGCTTTTAATTGTAGAAACCTAGAATTGAAAACTCGAATCGGTAAAATAAATGAGGCCGAAGTCTTCCTCCCTTCAAAAGGAAAAAAAAGTAATATCCAATAACTTTTAGACATTAATAAATTAACGGTCGAAATGTAAATTCGCATATGACCTAATTTAAAAAATAACAAATTTTACTTTTAACGTGCCAATTTTAATTAATTGACACGTCAATATTGAATCTTTTAATGAATTGCTACTGATCTAAAAATTCAGGTACAATTTATCAAAATAAAAAGTTTAAAATGTATTTGAAAAAAATAAAAATAAAAATTTAAGCCTTATTGAGTTCGCAGATTCGAGTTTTCAATTCGAGCAGAAAAAGTTAGATATGATTTTTTATGAAAGTTTTTAACTGTAATAAAATTAGAATTAAAAACTCAAATCGGTGAAATAAACAAGATTTTAGAGTTCAAAATTGTGATTTATTCTACTAGATAAACTATCCTTCTAATTACCAATTTACCATTCTCATAGGTACAAAAATCTAAACACTGCCATTCTGGAAGGGTAGAATCGCAAAAGCAGATAAAAACACACTCCCAAAGATGGATCTCAAAATGGGACAAACAAACAGTATGCATTAAAAAAAAAAAAAAAAAAATCTTAAAAACAGAACCCAAAAAAAAAAAATACACGGGTGCTTTAGTGAAGGTGATTGATTCGATACTGTTGGTGTTCTTCGCGGTGACTGCCGTATTGGTGTCGTTGATCAACGCACAGGCGTGTCTGCCGGCGAGTCTGTTCCCGGAGTTCCTCGTGGAGCTGAAGAGCTGGTACGAGTCGCGTATGGTGATTATCTTTTTGTCCAGAAGCCTCATTTCTTCGTCGGACTCGTTTGGCTCGAGCTTCTCTTTCAATGGCCTCTTATACTCGCCAATTTGTGCGGGATTTTGCGTTCCAAGCCCTGGTTCAACACCACCTGTTTGATATATGGCGTCTCTCTTAATACCGCACTGGTAAAGTTTCGTTCTTGAATTTTACTATTTGGGTTTACTTTGGTTTGAGATTGTACCCGTTTTTCCGTGCCCTAGATATTGAATTAACGTTTAGAGAAAATTGTGTAGTTTACCTCCAGATTGGATAGATTATAATTTCTATCCTTATAAAGAAGACTGCCTCTCTAAATATTTTTTTGATATTTTAAATAGAATTTAAAAGTCTAAAATGTCATTCTCTCTCTAAAACAACAAACCCTAATCTTTGTTTCAGATCAACCTTTCTCTCATTTCTCTCTCTCCTCTTTCCTTCTCCTATAGCCGGCGCTCGCGTCCGCCGCCAGATCATGCTCCTCGCGCAAGTCTATCTCATTTCTTTCCGACTAGATCCCACTTTGCCGGTGCGAAACATTTCCGGATCTTCGATCTTTTCCTCCGGTCATCTTCTCGGCCTCTCTTCGACGTGTTTTCTCTATCGCTGAGCCCCCCCTCTCTTCGCCGCACCTTTAGTTTGTCGTCGCAGTCTTGTCCTCGTTTCGTCGGGGCATGTTCTCTCTCTTCGTTGGTGCGAGGAAAGCTCTTTGGAGTAGGCCCCGTCACCGGATCTGGTCAGATCCGGCGAGATTTGTCCCAAACGCGAAGAACGGCGTTGATCTCTTGCGGAGGTCCTTGGCATTTCTACAAAAATTTATTGCCAAAAACAAACAATAACATGTAAAAGATATGTGATTTTTTTTTCTCGGTGTAACTATAGTACTCATACATCTTTTAAGCTTTGGGAAGATTACATAATTCGTAACTTCTCAGTTTTCATAGCATGCCAATTAATATCTTGGATTGAATCAATCGCTGTTGATTACTTCGGTTTACTGTACAACAATCTGAGGCTTATGCAAGAAAAGGAATTGTTTTGTTCTTAGTACTGCTTTATTGTTTAGAGAAGATACCTTAGACCTTAGCATATGAATGATTATATCTCTTTAGATGTTGTCATATGAATTGCAGGTATGCTTGAAAATGTTAAATTCCAGCATGTGAAGATTTTGAGAAGATTAAGTTTTTGATCCATGGGAAGATTTTGATGAGTTATTTTTGTACTATTTTTTTCTCATTTTTATTGTTTAATATTTGTTGTGTGTTGGGATTATTCTTTTTCATTATTGTTGCTTTCAATCTTGTGATATTTGGTAATATTTGATTCAAAAAACAAAATAATCTCGCAAATTATGGTTCATAAGTTACGCCAGAAACATATTCTGCTTGCATGTATTATTGATCATAAGTTACGCTTGCCTTGCTCTTTGCTTTCTTCTTTCGGATTTAGAATAGTAATGTGTGTGATGTGAAGGTGATCTGCTCTTCCACTTTGCACAAGAACTCTACAATGTTAAAATATCAAATTCTAAGCTACCTAAAATTATGATCAATGTTTCTCATCATCTTCTTGCATATTGGAAAATTTTTGAGGCTGCTATATTGTCGGAACTGATCGGGTCCGGAAAGGCATCTGACAAGCTGTTAATACTGCACTACCCTTTCTTGGGGTTGGGCGTCCTGGCGATGCTGCGGGGTCTGCTACCGCAATCTAGAAAGACTGCATCGACGGTTGGCAAGGGACCTGCATTGACTGGACCTGCATTGGCTAGGAAAAAGAGAGCTCGAAAATGTTGGGAAAATTTCCCTAACACGTAAGCAAATAACATAGAATGAAAAATAACGAACGACCAAGAATTTTATACAGGTTCATCAATTTGGCTACATCTTATTTCTGACGTTGCAAATTCCACTAACTGTTGAAGAAATTCATTACAGAGAAATCATTTAATCTCACTTTGTGTTTCTCTCACACTCAAAAAGATATTTACTAGCCTCAAACTCCAATTTTCTCTCAGAAAATTCGTTCACCTAAGTCCGCATAACATTAAGTATTTATAGAATAGAAGAAAAGCCTAAAAAAGCTCTTAAAAATTCACCTAAAACAGACCTTGAGATTTCCTGTCCACGACCAGGGCCGCAGCGCTAGCTTCTCGGTGCCGTGGCACCCAACGAAACACCTTGTGCGCAGCTTGCTATTGTCGTGGCGCTCAATCTTGGTGCCGCGGCACTACGAGGCCGATTCTTGGAGTGCCATGGTGCCCTGCTTCCTGCGCATTCTTTGCACTCCAGTGCCGCGGCGCTCAAATACTTTTTTCTTGTTTCCAAACGTGATTAGGCTCCACATCTCATAACAGAAAATACCGCATAGCTAGTGGATTGAAATTTTGTAATCCTTGCCATTTGTGTTCTGCGTTTTAACAGCCTGATTGAGTGTATCGTGATCTTGTTAATTTGCTGATGTATATAGCGGAGCTCTTAGGATCAAAATGATGTTTTATTGATTGCATTAGTCACGAGCCATGTGAATATAACGCCAGAAAAACAAATGTACTATTGGTATTGTTCACGGAATAGGACTTCCATGCTTGTCTACAGCTCTTTTTTGTGTGCTTGGGGTAGAAGTTATGAATGTATAGCCATGCCAAGAAGTATTTTGGCTTAAATTATTTTCTCAATAAGACAGTAGAAGCGTTATGATTAAATATATATGATGCATGTTTATTTCACTTAGATTTCTGTATTTGGTCATGGCATGTTCACATGCACAAGGAAATCACGCTCAATTAAAAGGCAAGGCTCTTTATTTTTACATCTTGCGTTTGTGAGCCGCTATAACTAACCAAGAAGATACTTGAAAGTTAAAAAAATACAAGTCCCACAACACAGGAACGACATTCTTTAAAGGACAAATTATACTTGTGAACTATTGGCCTTTTACCAAAATGCCTCTTAAAGTTTAAAAATAATAAAATTTTATCCTGAACAATTCACCATTAGCACGCGTCTCCTTTTTCCTCCTCTATTAAATTTTAAACGTTAAGTGATACGTGAAAATTGCTGATGCATTTAATTTTTATTGTAATATGAAATGACGATTTTACCCATCCAAGCCCAATCGTTAACTGGTCAAACCCGCCGTTGACCGGCATTGACCGGCCCAAAACTTAGGGGTTTTGTTATCCATGATCTTCTGAGTATTTTTACATCAATATCACGAAGATCCAACTGTTGGATCGTCGGAACCACCTTTCGCCACCACGGCTCACGACGGCGGCTCCATTCTCTGGCGATTCGAGGTTGTGTGATGCAATTGATTGAGGGCTTTTGATCCACGTCCCACTCTGAAGCTAACTAGCCCGGCGGTGTCACTCACGGTGGCTGGAATGGCGGAGATCGGTGGGGGCGCGACGGCCAAACTTCGCGACTGCGGTGATGGAGCTCCGCCGAGAATCGAAAGGTGTTGTTGGTATCGTTTTCTTCGTCTCGCCTTTCTAAGTCTATAAAAATCAGAATCACCGCAATCAGAGGTTGAATGAAGAAGTTACACAACGAGAAGAAATGGATATTTTCAGCTCTTTTTCCAGCGTGTAGCGACTACCGGTTGAGTTGAAGGTCCTACTACATGTCGTGTTGCTCAGCTCATCAAGAGCTTTGCGATGGTAAGGGAGGCATCGAAAAATGATGAGAATTTTGATTTATTTCTAACTCAACACAATAAATTATTTATTTATCCTTGAAATGAGAGTCACATACCACCACATGTCACTTAACGTTTAAAATTTAACTAAAAAGACGAAAAAAAAGGACGCGTATTATTGATAAATTATTCAGGAAAAAATTTATTATTTTTAAACTTTAAAAGGTATTTTGATAAAAGTTCAATAGTTTAAGAGAGACAAATGTACTTTAAAAAGCCGAGGTCGCGGGTGGCAAAGAGGACCCACTTGGACACTTGGGGATCTCCGCAAGAAATTTGAAAGTTTGCTTAAAGCCGGCAGAGAGGCAAAAGAGAATCAAGTCAACTTTGCCTCGCCAAGGGCATGTACAAAACAGGTAGACCTGGAATCACCAAGGGCAAACTTGGAAACTAAAATTAATACAATGCGGGAAGATTACTTATAAGCCTTATTATAATAGTGCATTATAGAAATCCAAGTTCCCAGATCTGCATTTGTACTCCATTTTCAGTTTTGAGGAAAAATGGGAGCTTTGGTGAAGCTCATTGACGTGATTCTTTTCGTGTTCTTTGTTGTGATCGTCTTAGGAGCGCCGTTGCTCGATGCGCAGGCGTGTCTGCCGGAGAGTCTCTTTCCGGACTTCCTGGTTGAGCTCAATGCCTGGTACGCCCACAAGTTCGGCGACTATCTGGTTGCCGAAAAGCCTCACTTCTTCGTTGGTCTGGTCTGGTTGGAGCTCTTCTTTCAGTGGCCTCTCGCGGTTCTCAATCTGTATGGCATTTGGGCTGCCAAGTCTTGGTTGAGCACCACCTGTTTGATCTATGGCGCTTCCGTCCTAACCAGCCTGGTAATATACATACATATATATATATATATATATATATATATATCCTATTTTCCTTTTGCCTCTTCTTTTCCCTGCATTGATCTGATATTGGTTCGTTCATGAAGACTCTGATTGCTATTGATAATATCATTTACGTTGAGTTTTCAGTATGTGGGGTACAGAGTAGGGACATGATTAATTATGGTTGAGAATAGAATCGTATGGAGTAGGGACATGATTAACTGGGTGAGAATAGAATCTATGCAATAGATCCGTACATTGTGAACTTTGTCCTATTTACTCCGCTTCACTAACATGCGTGTATGTGGTTAGGATGAGAGTAGATAGATATGATGGGATGCTGGGAATACTGAAAAGGATTTTTCATAGGTTTGAATTGAAATTCAAATGTACTTTAAAAAAAAAAATATTATAGCAAAAAGGTTTAAATTGTTATTCAAATTCGTGAAGCAAACATCCCAACAATGTCATACCCAAAAAACATCCTTTGTTGTCTTTATTTGACTTACTGGTGAAAAGGGGAGACAAATTAATTCACGGATCCAAGCAAATAGGAAAACTCATCCCATATACATTAGTACTACTAGTTAGAGTGGATTATATTGCCGAAAATACGTAAGCCTATATTTTATTGTTCTCCTCAAATTTTCAATACTAACTCTTGTTATGAACAATTAACCCTTTATGTTAGCATAGAGGGGAAAAAAAAAAAAAAAAAAAAAAAAACTTGACGTTAGCATAATCTAGAAACTAGTCAAATTAACAATAGTCTGAAAATCTTGTTCCAACTTTTTTTCCCTCCATTTTTTCAGTTTTTCTGCCATTGTGGAGACAGTTTGGAAATAATTTGTCAACTTTCCTCTTCAGCTGAGAGGAGTGCAAGCCTTACCAATCAAGTTACCTAGTGTTGGGGAAAATTTAAAACAACAAGATGTTGCCAAAAGTGGAAGTAAGGTCGATGTATGCTATGCAATGTCCTTAAAATAGATTCAGCCCCCTACCAAATGATGTCCAAAGTGCAAAATAGGCTTTACGGTGGTCTTACCTCCAGATACAACGGCCTAGTCTTTTGAAGATTGCAGTCCCAAATACTTAGCTCTAAAACATATACTTTTAACCTCTAGCAAGAGAGAACAAATAAAAAGGATATTAAAAAATTACTCGGCAAAATTTAGATTAGCCCACACCATATCTAAGTCACCCACGTTGAGTTCTCTTAAGTTTGAGTTGTTTTGGGGCATGGCGCAGTAAAGGGCGTTAGACATGCATCAAATTTTAAGAGCTAAGTACTCAGGAGTGTATGCATACAATGCTCATGTCATTTTATTCTAGAGATTAAACCGCCGTGAAGCTTATTTTGCACCCGGACTGTCCAAAGAGTGGAAGAATTTATCCTTAATGCAATGCCAGCGTGCACCTTTGGCAGCGTCCACTATTCCGAATTTTCTCTACCTACTATATTGTAAAAAGTAAGTAGTGTTTACCTTGATCTTAAAACATGCTTGCCTTGCTCTTCTTTTGGGGTAGTCCTGCCCGCCTCAAAACGCATAAGAACTCTGCACTGTTGAAAATTCAAACTCTAAAACAGTTGACATTATGATAATCGATTTCTCCTTTAACATTCTTTCATATTCTAAATCTTTTCAGGTTGCTATTTTATCAGAAATGATAGGGTCTGGTAAGGCATCCGATAAGCTGTTAACAGTGTACTTCCCTTTCTTGGGGTTGGGTGTGTTGGCAATCCTGCGCGGTCTGCTAGCACAATCTGGCAAGACTGCGTCAAGTTCAACCGTCGCCGAGGGATCTTCATTGGGTCGGAAAAAGAGGGCTTGAAAATACAGCTTCTAGCTTGCTAGCTAGCTAGTACTGGTCTGAAATTCTTGTAACCCTTGCCATCATTCTTAAACACGGCAAAAAACAATGAACGCTTGATTGGTTATGCGTTTCTAATTTTATCTAGTTTTTCTCCTTCTGTTTTAGTAACCTTCATGTTCCTATCTGTATTTTGAGATCTCTATCAGAACTTTGGCCATGGCATATTCCTATCTGTATTTGCGATCGGAGAGCATTGTCATATTCTAAGAATTAGAAGTGGAACCTTCATCTCCTAGTTTAAAATTAACCAACTAATGTTAATTTGAGAAAAGTAGTAGTAGTAGTTGTTATTATTATTATTATTATTGAAAAGCAGTGAGAAATGTTAAACTATAGTGAATGTTCTCTTTAAAAGCAACCAGTACCGTCGGTCTACAAAGCTCACATGATCGTCTGATATATATTCCAACAGATGACGAGACACCAAATGTTCACCAACAATGCATAAAGATACTCTCAAAAGTGGCACACATAACTAACTTTACAAGCCCCAACATTATGTGAACCGGAATTTCATTTAGTCAATCAAAACCCACGGATTTTAATTCCTTTTGCATTAAAGTGAAGAATTTTCTAGATGGTCACATTATTCTAATTCATGCATAAGCTAGTTCAGAAACCCTTTTACAATGATTCGCCATTTATAACAATTACATGGACTACACGTAAATCAAAAGATGGCTTAAATATATATAATTCATTTATAGGTATACGTAGTGATCATCTGAATCCTTTTTGTTCATTTATTTCATCTTTTTGCTTTTTCACCTGCAAATATAGTTATGAAAAACACATAAATATATAAATCATTAGAAAGTAACCTATCAACTTCAACTTCTCAATCATAAATAATGATGGAACATATTTGAGTAACTAAACATATTTGAGAAACACATGAAAGATTAGGACATATATTACTTATAATAGAAGCAATATGCATTTCAAAACATCTTTGGATGGGAAAAAAAAAAAAGAAATATAAAATTACCCTTGTCTGGTAGTAGTGGGTGTGAGCTTCAAAACCGCAAACGACCAGAAAAATTAAGGGAAATTAAGGGGAAACAAAAATACATAGATGATCATGAAGCATTACACCCCACTTGCCCACAACCCTAAACCTAAAGAGCAAAGTTAATAAAATATGAAAGCTAAGGGAGTTCAATACCAACCTAAACCCATGTAATTATAATTAAGGTCTTAAAAGAAGTCTTGATTTTGGTTTTACTTTGTTAATTAAGGAAGTCAATACCCGAACCCCTATTCCTCGCACACTCTTTTCAAAATGCTTAGAAAGGATCATGTAAGGTGCGTTCTTGACTTCTCCAAATCTTGCATTTCCTTAACGCCTTCATGTTTGTTTGTTTTTTTTTCCCCCCCTTACGCTTTCCCTTTTCTTTCGCTGAAAACTCGATCATCTTCTGTCAATTAATATAACTGCAAAAATAAAGAAACAAATATATATTATCAGAATTGCGTCCTTCACCAATCAACAGAGACAAACAAAAGGAAATACTACAATAATCTTTTGCAAAAAGTGCATGAGATTCCAAGATAAATATGTTGTGAAAAAGTACTGAAGATTTTTTTTTTCTTTTTTTCTTTTTTTAATGAGTGAGAGCAACCAGTAGAATTAGGTACACTAACACATCCTAATTAAGTTGACACCTCCTAAATTATTCATCCCTTACTAAGGCCTCCGTCCAAATTTAATAATAAAAAGAAAAGAGCATACAAAAAAAAAAATCAATGTGAAAGTACCACTCAAGAAGAGCAATATATAAAAGAAACTATTAAAATAACACCAAACATAATTAATTAAAAGAAAAAGTACAAGAATAAACGCCTAAAATGATCAAGAGAAAAACATAAGAACAATGTGATATAGGTCTAAAAGATGGCATGTGATCATAAATACTGCAGCTTTATACGGTTCTATTATGTATATATGAAGTTAAAACACTATTTTCCATGCATGGGAGGACTTACAATAACATTTTTCATGCATTCTCGCATGACAAAGAAGCCTTGATCCTCTCGACAGTGCATGCAATCAGATTGTTAACAGTTGCCACTGATCCAAGAGAAAGCTTTGCTGTGGGGACTGAATCAACCAAAATCTGAAACGCAACAGTTAGAAGAGATCCACCGGACCCAGCTTCCCCAATACCATCGCCGTGAGCCGCCGATCCGTCGGGGAGAATTGCAAATCCCGACGGAAGAAGCGCCACATAGTCTGGATCGCCGCCGTTTAGCACCACATTCATAGCAACGATATCGACCGGAGCATAGATTACGAAAGAGGCTGTTGGGTCAGTGCAACTCTCTTGCAATATCAGCATGTTGCTCTGGCTTGAATTGGCACTCTACAAAGGATATGGTCGTTCGTTAATGGATATTACTGGATAATGGTCATGAAATATGTTTGATATAATTGAACCGACTAAAACAAAAAGAATTAGGATTATTGAATTGAATCTTACATTTACTCGAAGTAGAGACACGCAGTTTCCTGTGTCACGGCCATTTGCAATGTGAGCCATTTCTTGCACAACTCCGCCATTGGAAAGAATATCCCACTGCAATTACATACAACAAGTGACCGTCAAAATTAGACATTCTAACAACACTAAATCATACTTTTAACAAATTAATGTCAATTATCTTCCCTCCTCATTTATATTAAAAACATTCAATGCTATCCTTTTATATTGTAGTATATAGTATACCATACTTTTAACAAATTGATATCAGTTGTCCTTCCTCGTCATTTATATATAAAAAAAAAAAAATTCATCGCTATCCTTTTATACTGTAGTATAAGATTTCTCTACACACATTACAAAGGGTTCTATGCTTAACGATGATTAAGGAAATAATTTTTGATATACATACCTCGCTGCGGGAGTTCTCATCGCGGAGGAAATCGAAAACCCTTTTAGGAGGAACTGGAAGCCAGAAGGAAGTAGCAGCACTTAGGACAATCCCAGGAGGCCTGCCCGGGTCGTCTACCCTCTTTCGGGTCATGACCCGCACATCATCAGCCCCGGTTCCTGAGAGGGTTGTCCATGTATGAGTTGTTGAGGCGCTCACTCCGGCGCAAAAGCTTATCACCATTCTCTCTGCCAATTTCAACATGCTCTTTCTCCCTTCTTGATTTGTTATCACTACATTTTTTACATCGCCAAAAAAAAAAAAAAAAAATTGACTAAGTTTTGTAACATGTATAAGCTTTGTTTGGTATATCATTTTTGTTTTAGAAGTGAAAACATCTTAGAATTGTAAAGTGCTACCAAACGGATCTGAATTTGTTAATGATATTATTGTGTGTTTATCTTTTAAATGTTGGATTAAGTAAGAGAAAAATTGGTTGATTGATTTACCACCAACATCTCCGTTGGGAATGTTTGTTGCCATGGCACTGGCTAGGCGTTCGCATTGACGATCCAACGTGGCAACCCAACGTTTTGCACCAAATGCATGACCAGAATTAACTAGCTGCTTGTACAGATTGTGAACACCTCTATCGTCCACTTCTACATGTTCCACCCACGTAACCTACATATAAAAAAAAAAAAAAGCGAAAACAAACAATACAAAAGAAAAGGTGATCAAACACAAAATAATTTACTATTTGACAACTAGCAATTAGAAGAACTTAACTATAAAAAAAAAGTATATAATACCATATATATGATCACGATAACTAGCTCAATTGGTATTTAGTGAGTGTGTGAGTTGTTTTCAATGTATCGAGTACCCTTGAATTCAAATCTAAAAAAATGGATAATATCAAATTTTGTAATAAATTACCTTAGAATATCCATTGGGCATTTCTTGGATAAGGCAACCAGATGGCCTTCTTCGGCATCTTACTGCTGGACTAGGTCTAAGGTTGTCCAAGGAAACATCAACTACTGCCCATGTCCCATCCGCATGCTGTTTACAGTATCTCACATAATAACTCTCCCGAGTTGGAACCAGCGGTGAAGGTACTTGGAACTCCGCTGTCATCTGCAGTAAAAATATATATTCACATAATTGATTGAACCATGAAATTTAGATTTGTAACAATGACATTGAAAAATAAAATGTGGATGTGTGTGTGTGTATGCGTATACACATTACCACTTGCAAGGCTCCATTGAAATTTCCAGCAACACCAGTTGAGAGAACTTCCAAAGCCATTGCTCTTGAGACAATCCCAGAAAACACAGTCGACCATTGATTCTAAATGCAACCCATTTATATACACAAAGATTAGATCTACAGAATATCAGGGCTGGATTATATCTATTAAAAAAAATTATTAGGGTTGGGATAATCTGATCCACTAATTACCACATCCATGAGAATCTCAACTAGGTTAATGTGATTCATGATGACAACAGCGGTCTCACGCGAAGCCTCGCATTTGAACCCGGCAGGCTTAGGCCCGATGCCACGGGGAAATGTGCGAACGTATTCGTCTTCGTTGAGTAGTGCACTGGCTCCGTCGAGGCTCGTCATCCACAGGGGTTCTCCCATTTGAGCCATCCTGATTAGCTCCTCCATGGCTGCAACCGCTAGCTCTATGATCATCGGCTTATCGGCCTCAGAAGGCGCACTGATCGGCCTCAGTAGGTCTCCCGACGCTCCGTACATCTCCCCTCCCATGCCTCCCTGCGGCCCAAAGTTTCCAACACCGAGTTCGAGCGGGCCGCCGCGGGGCGCAACCGGGGAAGATAGGAGAGGGTAGTTCACTACTGGCTTGCCCACGTACTTTGCGGCTATTGCAGAGATACGATCAATCTGAAAGAAAACAGAAGTAATATTGCTAAGACCAATGTTTTTACAGAAGAAGGGAATCTTATTCTTTTGACTAATTTGCTTCGAGCGTATCGTTTTTTGTTAGTGTAACGTGCGTTGTTGCTTAGGAATGCTAAACGAAGTATAATGATGATGATGATGTTTTGTATTTACATTACCTCTTCTCTTAAACGAGCATTTTCAAGTCTCAAATGATGTTCGTCAAAGGACATTTCTCCTATGGCGGTAGGACCCCCACAGTTTGGGCAAGAGGCGTTGCTTAGGGCTTCTCTGTACCTCATGTTGTCAGCCCTAAGTTTCTCATTTTCTGTTCGGAGCTGTGTGTTTTCATGCCTCTCGTGCTGGGTCTGCACAAGAAAAATCAGAAAATGATATTATAATTATCAGGAACAGATTGATATTGGGCTAAAACATGTTAATTAATAAGATATTCAAGATCATTTACCACTTGATTGCATCTGAAAAATTAAGGGTAGAAATACTCATGTAACGTACGCTTTATAACGGAAATATGAGACCGATTTTTAAAAGATAGCTTTATAATTTCACCAAATTTAATGCGTGTGTATATATAGCTTAATTATTTCACCTTCATTTGGGTGCGCTTATTTTGGAACCAAAATTTAACTTGTAATGGCTCCAAACCCAATTCCCGGCTGAGTTCCTTCCTTTGCTTATCATCAGGGTGCGGACACTCCTTGAAGAACCTAAATCATAGAATAAAAAAGAAATTAATGTTATGTGATTCAAAGAAGCAAAAAAAAAAAAAGAAAGGAAAAGAGTATAAAGCTTGCTTACGCTTCCATTTCTTGAATCTGATGCTGAGTGTGGCGATGGTAGCGTTTCTTCTTAGGGCGCTGCTGGCCATCCTGGTCGTCGCCGGAGGCGCCCTCATGGTTTTCGCTGCCGGACTTGGTGGCGCTGTCGAAGTCATCATCGCGACCGAGGTTTCGGGCGATGTCGCTCTCGGAGGTGTTCTGTGTCATGTGATCTAGTACTGAGTGGTGGAGCTGACCAGCTTCCATCATGTTTGGCTGGAACATATCGGCAGATCTTTAAGTTTTCCCAAGGCTTTTATGGTTTTTCAATCTAACAACAGGATGGGAAATTAATTTCCACACTCTCAAAACCAAAAAAAAAAAAAAAAAAAAGGGATTAAATTGAAAACAACACTTGTTAAAATTCTATTTCATGCTTATCCTTGCGAGGACAGTATATGAAAATGGAACCCTACAAATACATCTCTCTAATAGTACATGAAAATTAGTGAAAGGGATCATTTTTATTTATTTTTTTTAAAGATGGTGTATATGTATTAAAATACTATTTGACTAGATTAGCAAAAAAAAAAACACTATTTGACTAGTGGATAAGAAAGAGCTTTGAACTTTGGTATCTCTATTCTCTAGATCTCTTTTGGTCTTTTTTGTGAGGACTGAAGAGAGAAAGGCTCAACACCTTTATCGAGTACCGAGAACGATTTTGCTTAAAATAGTAGAATATTAGACTTAGTACTGATCTGGCCAAACAACTAACACACGTATGATGCGTTTCCAAGTCCATAAAAATGGCAGAAGGAGAGAAAAAAGGTCATGCTTTTTACAAGAAAAAGGCAAAAAAAATAAATAATAATAATAATAAGAAAAAGGGATCTAGACCCATCAATTTAATTACCATAAATTCAAAAAAAATTTAGAGTTTGATCAACAAAATAACAAATCATTTGTGTGAAAAAAAGAAAAAACAGATCATAATTTGAGAGAAGTGTATGATATAGCAAACCCCGACCTGACCAAGAGTAAGTCCTGAAGTTGACCCGAACCCACCAACGTTTCCGTTCCTTCCGACTATCGACGGCATGTTTCTCGCAGGAATCATAATCCCGGCGGGCATATTTGAAAACCCAGGAACCCTAAAATCTATTTCTACCGCACGAGTTTTTTCCGACCCAAAACTCTCTCACTCAGTACCTGAAATCTCTCTTTTATGCAACTTTTTTTTGTACGTACTGTTCTTATACAAAAAGCGGTACTAAGTGAAGAAAATATTTTGAGTACTTTCTCTAGATTCTCTGCAGATGTCTTAAGCTAAACGGAACTTTGTAAGTGAAATATAGACTGAGCTGACAATGGTTTTATTTTTTTTGTCTTTGTAAGGCTTCTCTGAAATATAGGGTTGACAATTTGGATTCCGCGTTAGACAGACCAAAATCAGACAAAAACAAAAAGAAAAAAAATTAAAAAAAATAAAAAGTTATATATATTATAACGCCCACGAAGATCTCGGAGAATCCAACTTTGTCCTCAGCAAAATTACTATATATCTCTCACGTTAATTTCTTTATATATATGTTTCTTGATAGCCCCATCTGAAACATAGAAAAATAGAGAATGTGAGAAATATATCTAAACACACTAGGAAAGAAATTATAAGCCTTTTATAGTCTATTAAGAATATATTTGAAACGCTGGTTTTGCAAAACTACTATAGGTTTAAGATATAGAATACAGCACCTTAAACTTTTACCTGGACAAAGGCATTAATACTCGCCAAAATATATATTATATATAGTATAATATAGCGTATTATACTTTCAGATCCGCTTCTTGGGCTAACTTGGTGCCGGTAAACCACTGATTTGGAGGCTGCAAAAGTGGTTTTCGGGACAGTTGAAGAATAGCTTTTATGGTGATGAAGATATGAAAAGAAAGAGAAATAATAGGACAAATTAGAAATATATATATATATATATATAAGGAGAAGATGAAGAAGGAGAAATGGAGAAATCAAAGGACAGAAGATAGAAATAAAGGAAAAGGAGAGAAGTGAAGGGGAAGGAGAAAGGGGAAGCAGATGGGAGAAATTGTGGCAGCGAGGAGTAATTGCAGAGCGTATTGAGAGGGTGCAATTGCATTTAATGTTGGGAGAGAGGTGTAATTGCTATGAGAGAGAAATGTTGAGTTTTTTTTCCCCTTTTTTTATTTTTCTTAAAAAAAATTGTGTGTGTGTGTGTGTTTTTTTGTTGTTGTTATTTTCTTTTGGGGGGGTTGGGGGTTTCCTAGCGATACTAATTAGTTATGTGGTAATGGTGCAAACGAATGACGGCTACCAAACTCAGAGACTTTTTTTCCTATCATATTTTGATGTTTGAATTTTTACTCTCTACTACTTCATGTACTACAACTTTGCAAAAAATCCCTATTCATAATCAAAACTTTTATTTATTTATTTATCAGTTTTTACAAAGAACTTTGCAATGAGTGCATTAATTTCAGATTATATTCTATGAGATGCTGCTGATTTTATTCTATTTATATTCATTAGTCCCGCGATCTTAAATTTTATCTTACATCTGCTTCTTTTATCGTGTAATATTTATATATACGATGATTAATTTTCCTTGTACTGCCTGTCACATAGTAAGCTTCATCCACCATCTTTCATAACATGCATGAATTCAGTCATTTGGTTTAGATGGTTATATGAGCAAGACATGCCAAAGTATTTTTTCACAGGAATTTAAATATTAGCTTATTCCTTCTAAATTACAAAGTATTTTAATTATGTCCCTAAAAGAGAGAAATGAGATAAATTATGGCCCAAAAAATTTCCCTTGTTAGTACCAGGGGGAGTGGATAATATCCTCTCTCTTTTATTTTTTACCTAGTTCTTAAATGATTTATTTAAGTCCTAGGAGATTGAGATCACTTGTATATATCATATATGTAATTTGTTGCGGTTTTTAATTTACGGTGTATATGGACACATATCATGATTCCATGAAAATGAATTACGTGTCCTAATAAAGTAAAATTATGTATAGAAGAAGGAAAGAATTATGTTGAACTCTCCAACATTAGAAGAAAATCCTTTTGTTTTTTGTTTTCTTCTTTTTAGGAATTTTTTTTTTCTCTAGATTATACAATTAAGTCACACATTGAGGAAAGCGATCAGGGGAATTTTTTTTATGATAATGGATTTTGTGTGTTTCAAAGAAAAATGTTATCGGTAACTGTAGCGGCACAAGCAATTTTATCACTACAAATCTATTGCGACCAAACTATAGAGATGAATTAGAGAGTGACTTTTTCCTCGTTATAAGCTTTTTACGATGATCCCTGACTATTGTGTCTAGGAAAGTCCTCCCTAAAACCATTTTCTGTTATTAATAACAATTAGGAAATTTATACTTAAAGACTAGTTAGTTTGGTGGTACTAGACTGCTAAAGCTTTGGCTAGGATGAGGCTCGGAGGAAATTGCAAGTTCGATTCTGCATTGTATATTAAAGAGTATTTAGAAAAATATTTTAATTGAAACTAAAAGAGGAATAATAATACTAACAATAATAATAATAGTAACAGTAATAGTAATAATAATAATAAAAGAAACTAAAAAAGAAAGTAATCAAGTATATATTAACAAACAAGAATACATACACGATAACGACATCACTAGCAATTAAATGTATGACATACTCAAAAGGATGATGAATAGTATTGTTAATGAAGAACTTCCAATAACCCACAAAATAATTATGCTAGTATAAAATAAATGCTTGCATGTTTTTATTATCAGGGAAACTTTTGCATCCTATTCTTCTAATATTTAGCGATAACTAAGTATACAATATTAAAATTTTAAAAAACATTGAAAAGTATCACAATCGACGTGAATCATTCTACTATTCTACACCTTCACGTTTTTTATATGACGATGAATTTGAGTCCATCAGCAATGGCACATAAACATAATAGTACTAATTTTCAATATGAAACAATTAAGAACATGTTTAGTTTATGGATTAGAATCATGTGATTAGAACTATTTTCAATTTACGTGTATTTTTTGTGAGAGAAAATACTATAGCGAACCATGAATCATGATTTAAATCATGGTTTGAATCCTCCAACCAAACGTCTCCTAAGATAACTTAATATGTCGAGACATTATAAAATTTCATAATCTTTTGTATTTTTATTTTTGTTTAGATATTCAAGTGAGGAATTTGATAGAGGGATGCCACGATGTGCTAGTTATTTATTATATATATATATCAGTTATTTCCTCTCAAACTTTATTTAAAATTCTCTAAAAAAAAAAAGTGGCATATATATATATATATATATGAATAGGATTTGGTTTCAAAGTATTGCCGAACTAACTTCAGCGTTTTGGGGGAAAATACTAAAAACTGCCAGTGCAAGATTAATTTGTAGCAAAAGAGAAAAACTATCATCTTTTCCCCACTCCTTTTTTTTCCACATTTAATTAAAAATCCAAGAAGTTCCTTCTAAATTGACATACACATCTCTATATTTTATATTGGCATGCATTTTAAATTCTCAAGTGTGGAGCAATCCAAAAAAAAAAAAAAAAAAAAAGCGTGGGAAACCATATATATGCAGGTGGGTAGTAAATATCTATATACCTACAAAGTTATTCCTTTGTCTTACGTATCTTCTATCTTCTATATGTATATCTATTCAATTTGTAACCAACAATTTGATATCGAGCATACACAACACAACCGCCAAATAGAAAGAAAATGTACATATATATATGTACATATATATATACTTACCCGAATTAAATGAAACCAACAACGTTGATCTTTAAATAATGATTTTGATATGAATTTTGATCTGTCGAAATATAAGATATATATCATTGACAATTAGAGAAGGAAACAAAGTTAAAGGATAAGCTATATAATCATAATTGTGCCAAACGTAAAGTGTGCATTTATTAGTTTGGAGAAGGTGCAAGGTATAAATATATGTATACATGAGAGTATGACACTGGACTGTGACGTGAAGCCAATGAGAGCCCAACAATGGCCTAAATTTACGTAGAAAAAGGCATATTTGTAGTCCTCCTCGACCATTCCATATTAGACCTAAACAATTAGAAGCACAAGAAAATAATGATTTGTGGAAATAAGGAATCCCAATAGTGAAAGATATGTGGCTCCGTTCTTTTTGCTGATTCGAGTTTAGAATTCAAGTTTTGCTACAGTAAAAAGCTCTCAGAAACAGTCACATCTAACTTTTTTGCTACAGTAAAAAGCTTTCACACAACATCACATCTCAACTCGAATTAAAAACTCGAATTAGCGAACCGAACGGGAGTCTTTGATCGCACGCTTTGGTTTTTAATTTGTTTATTTGTTTTGATAAGAGTTAGCGTAAGCATATTAATTATAATATATAAGAATCAATGTCCCAGCCCTAGTTATATACTATTGAGATTTTTTAGTCTAAAAGTGCAGAAACAAAAAATAAAAAAGGAAAAAATGTCCATGTGAAAATTGCTGAAATATTTATGAATTTGAGTAGCTAGTCACGCAAGAGTTTCTAGGGGGTTAGATGAGATTTTTACTTTATTTTTCTTGAAAAGGGGGTTAAGATGAATTGCAAGTCATACCATGTATGTATATTCTCTACTATCTAAGTTACGACATATTTGGGATATTTAGATTTACCTTTTATGATATTTTTAAGGCATAATTGTTTTATTTTACTGTATTTTATATCTGATAAGAGTACTATTAATTAGATTTCCTAACCAAGTGGAAAAAAAGAGAAAAAAAATGTGATATTCACAATAATTGAAAAGATTTTCCCACATTGAATCTTATCTATTATTCCTTCATTTATAGAAGCACCCTAATTGAAAGAAGGAAATTAATTAATTCCTTTAGATATCATACATTATTTGATATTAAAAATCATAATATTATTCACTTTAATTTTTGAGTTTTGCTTCTTCTTCTTCTTCTTGGTGGGGGGAGAGTTGCATGAAGAGTTTTGTTAATGTCTGTTTTATCAATTCTTTTGGTCATTTTTGGAAACATAAACATTTTAAGCCACTCGGGTAGCGACTATTTTTAAAGGATTGAAAAAATATATTTGTTCTCAACAAACAAATACAACTTTCCCTGAAAAAAGGAAAACAATTATAACTTAATTAAATCCATCACTTTTTTCTCTCTGAATAAAAGTAAGTTAAACTAAAGGATTTTTCTAATTTCAACTGTCAGATTTACATAAAAAACTATATGTTCTGCATATTTTTTTTAATATGATATGATTTTAACTAGATTCAATGGTCAGAAATTAAACTTTATTGATAGAATGATCTATCGGAGAAACTCTTTTAAATTAAAAGTATAAATATATAAGTGGGGAAGATACATATACACAAAGATAAGAGAAACAAATATAGGAAAGAGTGAAGAGCGAATTAGTAAATGAAAAATACTCCTCGTGGTTGACTATGAGAAAATCATGATTAAAAGTGGGGATGCATAATTTTATTTCAATTTGGAGTACAAAACTTTTTAAATTGAATCAAATACTTAATTACAAGTAGCAATTTAACATTTCTTACTGCGATCGCAGACTTACTATAGCGGTAAATCCATACCTAAACTGTAAGTACATCTTCTGAAGTTTGAATCCCAACACTAATTGTAAACAATAACAATAGTCCTTGTTAATAAATTCTTATTTCAGTACCACATTTACCCCAACAGGTCTCTATCTGTTCAAAACTTCATCTCCCACATTAGGATTTTCTTTTCAATCTAAAATGAGAGCCTTTAGCCCCAAAAGAAATTAGATAACTCAGTGTGCTAATTATTTATTATTTATGTCAATTAATCTTTCGAATCATGCAAAAGCTTTTGTTAAAAGGTAGCAAGAATAAA